ATGTTCTATGTTCTATGTTCTATGTTCTATGTTCTATGTTCTATGTTCTATGTTCTATGTTCTATGGTATCTGATTCCACTACCAGTGGATTCCAGTGGCAGTGCATTCCACACGCCCACCACTCTCTGTGTAAAGAACCTACCTCCGACATCTCCCCTATACCTTCCTCCAATCACCTTAAAATTATGCCCCCTCGTAATAGTCATTTCGGCCCTGGGAAAAAGTCTCTGACTATCCTCTCTATCTATGCCTCTCATCATCTTTCAATGTATAGAGTCTTGCATTTCTTCCCCATTAAGCTCCCAAAGTGAGCATTCCTATCTGACCATCACCCCTCATATACCTTCCTAAGTAGAAGTAAAGGGTATGGGAAATAAAGGGATAAAACTAAACATTCTCTGCACCTTCCCATTACAAAATACCTGTGATTTACTTCATTAACCACAATATAAGCCAGTTATTACCTAATGCCTGAACTGACCTAGTGGATTAAATCATAAATACTTATGGCAAGCAGATTGCCTGTGTTTGAAAAATGTTTAAGTCAACCATTAGACAGGTCGGTGAACTTGTTTATTCTTGCAGGCAACTTATCCATTCGCAAGGAACAACTTTGAAGTAGCTGGGCATTCTCACCAAATGTACAAGTGCAATGAGCATATCACAAATCCAGCTGGAGAGACAATGATTCAACACTCTGTTTTTCAGGATCAATTTTAATCTACTTATGAGCCATCCTAATCTGCCTTTTGCTTGAGGTGTGCATGACCATACTGAGATTAGACGGGCTGTTTTCAGGAAAGGTTCTAAATTTGAATTTCTGGTGTGTCATAATCCTATAAGATGTGTGTCACCAGAATCAGGCCATTAGGCCCATCAAGTCTGCACTGCCATTCGATCCTGGCTGATATGTTTCTCAACCCCATTCTCCTGTCTTCTCCCAGTAACCCTTGATCCCTTTACTAATCAAGAAGCTGTCTGTCTCTTGCACTCAGTGATGTGGCCTCCATAGGCTTCTCCAGCAGTGAGTTTGACTGATTAACCACCCTTTGACTGAAGAAATTCCTCCTTATCTCCATTCTAAAGGGCCATTCCTTCACTCTGAGCGCTGTGCCACCAGGTCCTAGTCTCACCTACTAGTGGAAACACCCACTCTATCCAGGCCTCTCAGTATTCTCTAGGTTTCAACCCTTTTCATCCTTCTAAACTCCACTGAGTACAGACCCAGACTTGTCAACAGTTCCTCATATGACAAGGCCCTTCATTCTCAGGATTGTTCTTGTAAACCACTTCTGGACCCCCACCAACGCCAGCACATTCTTCCCTAGAAACAGGGCCCAAAACTGCTCCCTATCTTACTCTTTCCTGAATCTGTTGTTGACTTTTTTTTTTTAAAAACATGAAGGTGGATTTGCAGGACAGTCAGATGTCACTTCTTTATATTTTCTCAGGGTCCACATGAACGCATCTTTGATCCATATATTGCCCAAGTAGCTTCCAGTAAGTAAAATTTAATAGATTTGGTACCATGCATGAGTTTGAATTCACACACCCAGCCTGTGCATACATAGACAAATTACAGATCAAACTACCCAACAGTGAAGTATTTAGAGAATACTCCATAACTTGCAATGCTGCATTTCTACCTTATTCGATTGGCCTGGGTTAAAATTACACCCATTATGACTCCTGTGCGCTCCTACAATATTTATTTGACAAACCACAAAAAACATCAGAGAACACAGTGGCCAGGAAGACTGAGTTGAACCTCTAGTTAAACTATTAATTGGTCCAGCTGAAATCGATCAATGAAAGCCCAAAGAGGGTTCTCGTTTTCTCCTGGTGGCTGTAAAATATATATAATTTAGGATGTTCACCATGGTGTTTTTCTTTCTGTCTCACTCTATATACCAAAACAAAAGTAAAAATATAACCACAGGTGATTGGGGAAAGTGATGGGCACAATTGGTCCCTATGAAAAGAGAAAAAAGAGGGCCGTTCTGGTATCATGGCAGTGTCCCTATGCCTGGACCAAGAGATCTGTGTTTGAGAGGTGCTCTGGAGGTGTCTTGACATCTCTGAACAGGTTTAAAAACAAATTAAAACTTTACAGGAAGGATCTTGTGTGGTGCAGTGGTAGTATCCATTTTGAACAGATTGATTAGAAAAAAGGAAAATAAATTGAAGTTAAACTTGGGCCTTCTTGTGGTGTAGAAGTCCTGTCCCTACCCTGGGCTGAGAGAACCATCTGCTCCAGAGTGTGTAGTAACATCTCTGAACAAGTTGATTAGAAAAACAGTTTTAAAAAAAAATAAAACTTTACAGGAAGGATATCTTGGGGTGCGGTGGTGGTATCCTTACCTCTAGGCCAGAGGTCAGGGTTCAACTCCTACTTTGCTCAGAGGTGCATCGATATATATCTGGATAGGTTACTTCAAACAGTTTAAAAACTTGCAGGTCCCTTCCAGCTCCATTCTGACCTAGTCCCCATGCCCCTCCCCCTACTTCTATGGTTTCCATTGGCCTTGACAGACTTTGCACATAAATTACTCAGTTGGAAACACAGGTGATTTACTGGTGGTTAATGGATTTTAAAAAATAACACAAGTGATTTAGTGATGGGGAAAAGAAAATGTTCAGATATGGGTAAGAGCACTTCTGGATATAAAAAATAAATCTTGCAGATCCCTTCCAACTCCATTTTGCATTAGCACCCTACCCCTACCCCTTTCCCTTTCTCTACCTCTCTCTCACCTTTGATATTCTGCATTGCGCTTAACGGATTAACAAATTGGAAACATTGATGACTTAACTGATGGTGGTTAATAGATGGGAAAAAATACATTCTACAGGTGATTTGGTAATGGGGAGGGAAAGAACGTTCAGTTGTATTTAAGAGCACTTCTGGATATAAAAATACAAAATTAAAACCTTGTAGGAAACCACTTTGCCAATAAACGAAATTCACATTGGTGGTAAGTTTTTAGTGTGTAAAACAACTACCTCAGTAGTGC